CAGAAAACCATGAAAGAAAGCAATCACTGCCAACAATCATCTCTGCAGCAACATTGTCTCCCACATAAAATGGTGAAGCGAGGACATTTCCAAATAAACAGAATTAAGAGAATTTATAAAAGTCCTTAATTACCCAAGCTTGCAAGAAATATTAAAGGGAATTCATGAACCAGGCAATCACTGACATTGAACAGCAACCCAGATAACCAACCTAACCCCCCAGATTTCTAAAGGGATGTCACCAACTGAAAACAAGGAACCAGAGCTTGTCTGTTTGAAAACCAGGACAACTTCAGATAAGAAAGGGGCACAAATGTATGGTTCCTGGACCTCCTCCTGGAGAGAGGGGCAAGGTGATGTCAAGAAATGAAAGATTTGTGTCAAATTCAGGAAGATAAATGTCTATTTCAGAACAACCACAAATAAAATGAGTAAATCTCACAAAATGCTCCCCTCAAACTATGGAAATCATTAATTTGTGTATGAGAGTCAGTAAATATAAAATCAACAACAAAGGAAATACTAAAACCCATAAACACAGAAAATTAAGTGACATAGAGAAATAGCCACACCCACCCGCATATACATGCATACAAGAATAAGAAATAACAGCAGTAAATTCATGCCTATCATTAATTGCACAGAATGTAAATGGATTACATTTGCCAGTCAAGAGATAGAAAAGCAGAATGATGGATTTATTTTAAAAAAGAAGACAATGTCAATATGTTACCATAGGAGACACCTAGACACAAAGACATATATAGGTTAAAAATTAAAGGAGAGGGGAAACGATGCCATCTGAGGAGGTGCTTGAAATCATTAACCATTAGAGAGGCAATGTGATCTCCTCTCGCCCGAGCAATAATGGCTCTGATCCAAAAAAGGGAAAACCACAAATGCTGGCAAGGTTGTGGGAAGATTGGAACCTTACCCCCTGCTGGTGGCTCTGTGAAATTGCACAGCCACCATGGGAAACGGTGTGGTGTCTCTTTCAAAAGCTAGAACTAGAAATGTCATCCAATCTAGCAGTCCCACTTACAGGTATATATCCTACAGGAAGAAGAGAAGGCAGGAAGGGGTCAGACACTGGACAACTGGACACGAGGGGCCCCGGGTGGAAATGGAGAGAGTCCTGACACATTGTGGGGTGGCAACCCAGGTCTCAGCGTTGAGAAGCTACTTTGTAAACTTTCATCTAATGCACAATGAAAGGGGTGTTCAAACAAATGCGCGACTAAGGACCCTAAAATACTGAACCATGTGGTTTGAATTATGGATACTACATTAGGAATTCAGAGATGGGAAAGATGACCATGGCTGAAATAGCATGAGGTGGGGGCCTGTGTGTAGACAGCAGTGGGCAGATCTTTCTCAGGTCTGCATGGGCAAAAGCAAGCCAAGAAGGAGCCCTAGTGGCGCTGTGGGTTTAGCATTGGGCTGTGAATCTGTTCGAATGTTTCCAGGAGCACCCCCCACCCCCCGCCCGCCAGGTTTATTTTGTAACCCTAAAGTGATTTGAACAATACTGAAAGGGTGGCATAGTGGTTATGCATTGGGCTGCTAAGTGCAATGTCAGCAGTTCAAACCCACTAGCCACTCCTAGGGAGAAAGATGAGGCTTTCTGCTCCTGTAAAGAGTTGCAACCTCGGAAACCCATAGGAAGCAGTTCTACCCTGTCCTATGAGGTCGCTATGAGTCAGCATCTACTCAATAACAGTGAGAACGCATCTAACAGATGAATACTTAGATTAATGTACACAGTATTTCACTATTATATATAAATCTGTGGGTTGTGGAAATACTGTGCTTCTGCTTAACTGATAACTAAAGGGTTGGAAGCTCAAGTCTACTGAGAAGGACTTCAGAAGAAAAACCTGGTGGTCTACTTTTGAAAGTCCTGGGGAGCTCAATTCTGCTCTGACACATGGGTGAGAATTAGCCTGATGGCACGTGTGTGTGTGTGTGTGTGTGTGTGTGTGTGTGTGTGTGTGTGTAAAAGAGACTGTGACAAGCTAAGTACTGTAGGAGATGCACACCTGAAGAAAACGGCATAGCAGATCTCACCCCTGAAGCCCCCTACACCCCAGAGTGCAGTGCTCATCTTCCGCACCAGCCTCCCGGGGGCCCTGGTGTCCAGAATGCTGCTATTCCTCAAAATGTTTTCGGAGCGCCTCTTTTCCTTCAGAGTCTGTGACTCATCCTTGTCAGCTTTTTTTGTTGAAAGTAGATTTGATTTTTGGAAGCAGGAGTCACTTAGGGCCAGGTATGGTGAATAGGGTGGATGAACAAGCCGAGAAATGCTATTTTTGGTTAAAAAGTGAGCTGTGAGTATAAAATAATGTTTCCTGGCCTGGCTCAGAAAAGAAAGCACCAGACAATTAATTACCTTGTGAAAATGGGAACGAGACTACAAGTTGAATCATTTTAAAACCAAGTTTGGATCGTCGTGGGTGGTGGTGGTTAGGTGCCATTGCGGGACATCCGGTGAGAGGGTAGAACCCACACAGAGCGTCTGCGAAGCTGACATCTGTCTGGAAGCACATCACCACGACTTCTCTGAGCTGTGGATGGGTGAATTGCCTGCCTGTTCCCTTAGCAGCCAAGCTTAACCACTGCGCCACCAGGGCTTCCTGAAGCCCAGACCCTGCTTTGCCTGGTGTTGGGGCCCACCTCCACCCAACCCCCAGAGCCCTTCTATTGCTGGTACCTTAGTTTTTCTTCTTCAACAGAACCAGGGCCTCCGTAGTGCTCTGAGGGCTCCCTTCCCTGAAACCTGCTTCTTCAAGGGCCAGTGCCATCCTTGTGCTTGAAAGGGAATCCTGGCTCTCTGATCCCCCATTACATTAATGAGGACTCCTTCCTTTTCCCGAAGCTGTGCAAAAAGAAAAACAGATGTGCTCCCAGGAAAATGCACAACACAACAACACAGAAAGTGGCACGTGGGCAGCTCTTTCATTTGTACCACCTAATACAGGGCTTGGGTGAATAGGGCCTTGAGCCAGCCCCTAAAAGCTTCCTTACAATGACTAAGCTTTTCTCTCCATTTAATGTACGTGTTTCCAAGAACACAAAAGGACTTGGTGCTGCTGTTTTCCCGGCTCGACCCACCCCATTGAACCCCGTGTTATAGGCTTGATCACAACTCATTGCAGCCTGCCGGGCTTCCCGTAAGGCCTCCAAGGCCATAATCCTCACTATAATCCTTAGTGGAGCAGAATGCCCCCAAGTGGCTGGTGCATTTGAACTGCTGACCTCGTTGGCAGCTGAGTTGCTTGTCCACTGCATCACCAGAGCTCCAGCCTACCAAGGTCCAAACAAAGCCAACTTACTGCCATCAAATCTATCCTGATTAGAGCCATGCTGCAGGACAGCGTAGAACCTGCCCTGTGGGTTTCCAGGGCTGTCGATCCCTGTGGGAGGCCAAAGTGGCTGGGAGGTTTGAGCTGCTGACTGCTGGCCTTGTGATGAGCAGCCCACCAGGCCTGCTGGCTTCTTACCCCTTGGCAAGAGCTCTGTGAACTGTCGACGGAACCAACAGTCTTCAACTGCCTGCTGCCTGCCATCACTGCTTTCATGCTTTGTTCTTTAAAGAAACGTTTAGAATGAAAAAATATAGATATTAATAAGCTAAAGGTCTAAGTATTAGATGGCATGTTTCAGGGCATCCCTACAATATGCTTCTCAGGAGATATCTATGTCTGGTTATTTCTCTATTTAAGTAAATGCAGTGGCGCTCAGGGTGCCACGGACCTAGCACAGAGCAGAGGAGGCGCCGTCCCTGTCCCCATGGGTCAGGAAGCCCCACTCAGCCACCTGATAGTCCCCGGGAGCCAGCAGAGCCAGTGGCATGTGCCCGAGGCAGGGGCAGGTGCTTCACTTGCACTTTGGCCACGTCCCCGGAGCCTCTCCCCTCTCCAGGCCTGCGTCTGTGCGGTTTGGGAGATTTCACAACACAGATTAAGCACCCCAGTTTATCTGAACCCTGGTGTTACACATCAGGTTAATTTAATTCTTTGACTAACAGTTTAAAATTTCACCATCTGGGGAAACTCAGAACAGCATGGTTTATAATTCGATATGGTCACATTCTGGGATCTCAGCACGTGCTTCTGATGCATAAGCCTCTGACAGTCGGTCAGGGTTGAAGAGGTTCCAGTGACGTGCCGGGAACTGACAGGCAGACTTCAGGGACAACATAGGGGCCGTTCCAGAGCACCCCAAGGAAGCGCCGCCGGTTGCAGTAAAATGAGTCACACGCCTATCTTGGCTTCCCAACACATATACAAGTTGCGCCGACATTAAGCTGTAGCCTAAGTGTGCACACGCAGTATGAAGGGTCTGAACTGGGGCAGGAATGGGCAAAATGTGACATAGGGGCAGGAGGTGAGCAGCCACACGCGGTGAGGAACTGGTGCGGATGGACTTGCCGCAGAGACCACTGATGTGTACGGGCATTGGAACTGGTGCTGATGGACTTGCCGCAGAGACCACTGATGTGTACGGGCATTGGAACTGGTGCGGATGGACTTGCCGCAGAGACCACTGATGTGTACGGGCATTGGAACTGGTGCTGATGGACTTGCCGCAGAGAGACCACTGATGTGTACGGGCATTGGTCGCCCTGCCTTTTGGCAATAGATATGTTTCAGCAGCTTCGTTTTCTCATTTGCTGTTGCTGAAAAAGCCGAGGTTCTGATGGTCTTGTTGCTAATGACTTCGGTGCTCACAGAATGTGGGCTCCAGGCTCCTCCGTGAATGAATTCCAATAGTGAATGTTAGTGGACTCCACTACCACTGTATGTTTCAGGGCATCCCTACAATATGTTTCTCAGGAGATATCTATATCTTGTTATTTTTTGATGTAAAGAATTTGTCAATATGCACATGCTAAGATTTACTAGACCAGAGCCTACACAAGGAATGTAGTTTTAGAGTGGAAATACTTTATTAATATATTTTCTTTTTTCTACTACCCCACCCTCCACTCTTCTCTCCAGTTGAAGAATCTAAGTTTAGAAGAGCTACAGATGCGATTGAAAGCCCTGGACCCCATGATGGAACGAGAGATAGAAGAGCTTCGCCAGAGATACACGGCGAAAAGACAGCCCATCCTGGACGCCATGGACGCCAAGAAAAGAAGGCAGCAGAACTTCTGAGCCCACGCTCCCATCTCTGCTCCCAGGGCTCATCTGGAGACCAAGAAACCACTAAGGATCGAAGGACTTGTGCATTTGATGAATCCCTAAGCTTGGTGTTCTACAGCTGGGCAAAGGTCAGCTAATCATGAGTGGTATGTGCCCAGGTAAACTCCCAGAAGCAGCATGTACCTCTCTAGCCAGTAGGTTTTCACTTCTAGGTGGGGAAATCGGCAGAAACCGATTCTCCTCCCCACCTGTCAGCCGCACATTGGCCACGAACCAGCATCATCAAACAAGGCTTAGAACGCCAAAGCTCTGCTTCCCTTGTGCAGCCCCAAGGGCTACATATCATCGCATCAAGTAGCCTATTTATTGTATATTGTATCCCCTAGGTGAACTTTATTTATTGATGCGATAGCCACGTCGTCGTGCGTGTGGAAGACACAATCAGGAGAGCTTTAGTCAAGGTAGGAGCTGGTGATGTTCATCTGAATCCCACTTGATGCCAGCAGCTCTGGGCACATGTCTGATCCCCTAGGACCACTTTCCAGCGGAAGTGAGTCATTAATGACGGTATCACCGGCCAGGACCAGCCTTTTTATTCTGAAGCAAAATTCCATTTCTACTTTTAAAATTGTGTCGAATGTTTCCAGTGTTGATGTTTGGTACAAATAGAGCCACAGGAGGGGCTTCAGTAAATTAATGGAAAAATAGAATTAAGCGGTAATGTTATTTTTCTGTGAGCTTGTGAAGCCTCTGTGTGTGTGTGTGTGTGTGTGTGTGTGTAGAGTTATGTATGTTTAAAACCAAAGAAATCAATAGAACCCTTGCACGCACCCCCCCAAAATGTGGCAAATCTTTTTAAATAAATGAAATTTTAAGACAAATGTAGTTTGTCAATGTTCATGTTCCACCTGTAGGCCTGAGAGCTAAGCCCTGTCACACCGTAATAAACTCAGTCAGTTTGTTTCTTGAAAATGCGTTCTGTTGTCAGAAGCCTTTTAAAAAAATTTTTATTTGTCTTTTTGTGGGAATCAGTAAACATCTTAGGCCGGATGATAATGAGATAGCAAAAACATTAGTACTGAACCGTGCAAGCCTTGGGGACTGAAAGAAAAATAAATAAATGAAACAGTGACAAAGGAGCTCCTTTCTAAGCTGAGCAAGCATTTGTATGACTGCTCCGGGACCAGTCGTTTCCTAAGCTGCATATGGCCATCTTGACAGCGTTCGTTCTGTTGTGTGTCTAATTAGTACATGTAAATCACAGAGACAAATAAACTGCACTGTGCCACCCAACCGGCTCTGGCTCGGCATCCTTTCAAAGCTCACGTGCTGGCTTCCCCAAGAAGGAAGGTGGATTCGGACTGTTAGCGTTGTTCCCCAACAACTCCGTGGGCCCTGTAGCCCCCAGGCATTTCCCACACATGTTCAGACTCATCTCAGGCTGGCAGGGTGCCCCCTGCTGCCATCTTCCTCACCCAGGGAGCCTACTTTGAAGTTTCTACCGTCAGTGGTCACAGCGCAGGAAAGGTGCCCTGAGAGTCACACACTGGCTCTCCAGCCAGCAGCTGAGAACTAGCCACTGGCCGCTCTCGTTCTCAGGGGAAGCAGGGGGGCACACCCCAACCTTCCGGGTGCCTGGACAGAAGGAGGGACTCCCACAATAAATGAGACCCAACTCTGCCAGGGAGCTGGTTCCAATTCCTCGTGACCCTAGTGAATGAAATAGAACCGCCCCGTGGGTTTCCGAGACTCTTTATCCTTTCTCCCACGGAGCAACTGATGATTTCAAACTGCAGGCCTTGCAGGTAGCAGCCCAGCGCATTCCCGCTACGCCACGGGGGCTGGTGGCTGTGCCCCAGGTCATGCCTGTGTGTGGCATTTGTGTCTGTTGCAATGTAATTGGATGCACTTTATCGGATGGTATGGACAGTGGTTGAATACTAGAAAGCTTACTCAAAAGAAAGGTGGAATTTGTGATATCCGCTTCAGTCACATCTTTATTGGGGGCTCTCTGGGCAGTCAGATGAGTTAATCCATTCAGATACTCTATTCTTTTTTGCCCTGAATGGTTTTTCTTTTCACTTACCTGGTAGCCTGCATCACTGTCTGGTAGGCATTGGACTGACTGCTGACCGCAATCCACCAGCCGCTCCTCGGTAGAAAGACGCGCAATTGTGCAAAGATCCGCTGCCTCGGAAACATCAGCCTGGATTTGGTGGCTGGGGGTTTGGATTAAGCACCTTGCCTGGCTTGGTTGGATCAAATGACTGGTTTGCTCTCCTCAAAATAAAACCACCTATGTGATAAAGACAAGAAACCTTTAAAAGATGATTTTTCTCCAGTTTGTAATATTAGAACATTGGTGCGAATTAATTCGAAGAGAACTGTTACCATTCTTATGGGTTCAGAGCAATGGCATTGTTTTGTCTTAGAGCCTTAGGAAACTCCAGAACATTTAGAATCATATCTATTTTATTTAAAATTTTCCCCCAATTTTTTAATTCTTGCCCTCACCAGCCACCCCCACCAAAGGAAATCATGATAAAAGTCAAGTGCCATGAAAGAGATCGTCAAGTGTATTAAATCTTGATGAATTATGATGCTTAAGAAAACGAGTGTTCCAGTTATTTTCATGAGTTCAAGAAGAAACTCATTATCTTAACCTTGGTTGTTGAAAACGTACCAAAAATAGATAGATGTACTTTCTGCACCCCCCTGCCCCTTAATAAATACAGTATTGTGAATGTCATGGAAGCTGATGAGTCAGGGTTTCATCCCTGAGAAGCCAGCACCATCGTATATACTGTCCTGTAGAAGAGAAAGTGTGCTTGATTGAATTTAGATGACTCATTGCTACAGACATACAATACCCTTAAACAGCTTATTTGAACATAAATAGCCTTATGTTCAAAACATGGCCTCATTTGGCCAATATAATTTGAGGAAGGAAATGTCTTTATTTAAATGGATTTCAAAATAATAACACCTATTATTTGAGGCACTTACCAGGTGCCAGACACTGGTGTGAACATGTGACACCTGGCACTTCACAGGGTTTCCCTGCTTTACCCTCTGCCCATTCCCCTAGTCCCAGGCCTAGCCCTAGGTTTATAGTCACACTCCATGTGGGGGGGTTGGGGGTGAACTGTGTCGCTGCTCTAGTGGAAATTACATAATACATTGGTAAGATGTTTTCCACTGAGTCACAGGAAATCTTTTCAAATTGCTGACATATTAGCATTCAAAAGCAATGCTATTTTCGTTTCCTATCCTGCATGTTAATGATTAAAATTAATCCTGAAACGACTAATGATATTCTAAATAGAACACCACTTAAAAAATTGGAGTTACATGGCATTACTAAACTGTTATTTGCGCAGGCATTTAATTCAATCTTTCATCAAAATGTTACTTTGGAGTGCCATGCTGTCTTTGGCATGAAAGACTGGGAATCAGGTCTAAGAACATGTGACAATCTGATTAGACCTGGACGCAAGCAAGTTTGGTAGGCAGCTGGGCAGTCTCTTGCCCCACTGCTCCCAGTCCACACAAAAGACTTTCAACCCCACAAAATCATTCCAGCTTCCTGGGTCAAAAAAAAGACCTCAAGAGAGGAAACAGGTGACCTGATACAGTACATCCCCCAGGGGTGGAAAAGGCAGCCAACTCCCCACTCTTCTAGTGCTGGGTCGCACTATTAGCCAAACTGCCACCATTTTCTTCACCTGAAGTTCCCAAAATAAAACTTTTACTTGTTTGACCCCTTCAGCTTACACGATTTTGATTACCAAGTTCAGAATGAATTTGACTCCTTAGCGTTTGAGTTAGTTAGTTATGCTAACCTGGCCGATAATCACATGTGGGGCTAATTGAAAGGCAGAGGGATAAATGGGCGGTGAGCCTCGCCTTTCTAGTTCTCGGGTCTCTTGCTTTGTGATGGTCGCACCAGGGTGCAGCTGCCTTAGCAGTTCCCTGCTTCAGCTTGCAAGATTGACTTCCTGCAAGACATCCCCAAGGAGAAGCCACATGGACCTATCCCATGCAGCCCTGGGTGCTGGAGCAGCCGTATGGAGACCCCTCTAGTGCTGAGATGCTTATTCCTTCACTGACTCAGCTTTCCTCCTGCAGTCGGCATCATTGCCTCTGTTTTGTGAGGTGGAGGACTTTGTGGACTGGTGTTGAGTTAATGGGTTAAAGTTGGACTTGTGGGCTTGGGCAGCATTGGGTTGGGATGTTTTTGTGATGCACACTTGCTTTACATAAAACTCTCTCATACATGAGTTGCTGTGGATTTGTTTCTCTAAAGTACCTAGACTAACACAGCGTTCAAGACTTACAGCAGGCCATCATGTGTAACTATCTCCCACTACTGCTCTGTGTGAGCCTTGGCTCCGACAACCAAGCTACTTCCAATCTCACCAATGTTTTCTTGTTATTAAATGGCAGCAAATCAGCTTGAATTCATAGCAACTCATCTGTGCTCAGCAGAAGGAAGCACTGCCTGGTCTCTGCACCGTCCTCACCATTGTTCTTATGCTTGAGCCCACTGTGTCCACCCATCTCACTGAGGACCTACCTGTTTTTGCCCTGTCCCTCTACTTTACCAAGCTTGATGGCCTTCTCCAGGGACTGGTCTCTCCTCCCAACATACCCAAAGTATGTGTGTTAGTCTGGGTTGATTAAAGAAGCAAATCCAGAGACACTCATATATGTGTAAGAGAGAGTTTTATATCCAAGAGCAATTGGATATTAAGAAAACATCCCAACCCAGTCCAGATCAAGTCCATAAGCTCAATATTAGCCAATAAGTCCAGTATTAGCGCATGTTTCCAATACTAGTTCATAAACTCTTCTACAGACACACGCAGCATATGCAATGATGCCGAGAGCAGGAAGATCACAGGCCAGTGGGTGACAAGTCTTATGGAAGCATCTCAGCACTGGCATGACTCTAGATGGCTCCTCCAGCTTCAGGACTCTGGCTGCCATCAGCATAGCTTCCTGTGGCTTGTCAAACAGAATGCAAAGCAGAGTGAGTGTGTCCCACCTCCAGGGAGGAAGACAGGAGTTCCCAGAATCCTCAGGAGAAGGCCATGCCCACACAGAGGTATCATTGGCTCTGACCTGATTGACAGGCTAGACTCCACCCCTATACCCTACTTAACAAGTTGACATGAAATTATGTAACCATCACAGTATATAAGACGAAGTCTCACCATCCTTGCCTGTGAGGAACACTCTGGCCGTACTTCTTCCAAGACAGACTTGTTTGTCCTTTTGGCAGCCCACAGTACTTTCAGTATTCTTTGCCAGCACCATAATTCAAACTTGTCTGTTATCCAATGTATCTACTTAGTTTAGTATAAAACTTCTATAAACAAAGGCGGTGTTTATGCATCTTGCTCCCCATAATTTCTATCAGCATGTGACATAATTAATAAGTAATGTTTTATTAAATACAGTTAGCTCAAGCAGTGAAACATCATTAACCAGATAGTCCATCCTTCTCAGCATCCAACAACTAGGTTCCAGCATCTTCTCAGCCATGTATTTTTTTTTTACACATTATCTCTAATCCTCACAACAGGATCCATATTGCTTTTCTCAGAAAAGAGACAAGGAAAAATTAAATGAGGTCACAGTATCAGTCAATGCTAGCTAGCATGAGCTTCAAGCACCAGCCTGTCGGCCCTAAAATCTCTGCGTTTTCCTCTAGATGCATCAGTCTGGCTCTAGAATGACGGGGTTGCTAAGCCTGCCTGTAGATCTATCGTAGAAAGAGGACCAACTACTCTCTTTTCTATCCAACCTTGGGCGGGGGGTGGGGGGTGGAGGGGCATTTGTGCCTCTTCACCCTTCAGTGGAAGCTGCATGTTCCGAAGGGCATCTTTTCTGTATGTGAGGGGAAAGACAAGCAGGATGCGGGACTTACACTCCCAAGATGAGTTGTACAAAAAGATAGTTTTTCTCGGTATGAAGAGTTCTGGTTTCTTGAAAGCTTTTTTTTTCCCCAAGAAAGAAAGGGTGTTCTGTTTTCTCTATAACCAACATTTTTCATTGTTAATGTGTACTTAAAAAAAAAAAGTTTCTATCGAGTCCATTCCAACTCACAGTGACCTGATATGACAGAGTAGAATTACTCCAAGTGTCCATGGCTGTAGTCTTTGCAGAAGCAAATGCCACGATGTCTGTGGAGCAGGTCATTCCAGTTAGCAGCTGGCTGAGTCAGCAGCTGGACTACCAAGGCTCCTAGAGTCCTTACTCTGGAGAGAACAAGCACGGTGGAGGGAGCC